TAAGTGTCAAAGGCTTTTATTGACAATTGCATTAAGTTTATGCAAAGAGTCAATATTTGCAGTGTTGCAGTGTTGACCGTTCTTTTTCAAGACCTCTGCAATCCGCCCTGGCATGCTGTCAATTAACTTCTGGGCCACATCCTGACTGATGGCAGCCCATTCTTGCATAATCAATGCTTGGAGTTTGTGGGTTTTTGTTTGTCCACCCGCCTCTTGAGGATTGACCACAAGTTCTCAATGGGATTAAGGTCTGGGGAGTTTCCTGGCCATGGACCCAAATGTCGATATTTTGTTCCCTGAGCCACTTAGTTATCACTTCTTGGATGGTTGGGAGAAGTTGCTCTCGGAGGATGTGTTGGTACCATTCTTTATTCATGGCTGTGTTCTTAGGCAAAATTGTGAGTGAGCCCACTCCCTTGGCTGAGAAGCAACCCCACACATGAATGGTCTCAGGATGCTTTACTGTTGACATGACACAGGACTGATGGTAGCGCTCAACCCGTCTTATCCGGACAAGCTTTTTTTCCGGATGCCCCAAACAATCGGAAAGGGGATTCATCAGAGAAAAGGACTTTACCCCAGTCCTCAGCAGTCCAATCCCTGTACCTTTTACAGAATATCTGTCTGTCCCTGATGTTTTTCCTGGAGAGAAGTGGCTTCCTCGCTGCCCTTCTTGACACCAGGACATCCTCCAAAAGTCTTCGCCTCACTGTGCGTGCAGATGCACTCATACCTGCCTGCTGCCATTCCTGAGCAAGCTCTGCACTGGTGGTGCCCCGATCCCGCAGCTGAATCAACTTTAGGAGACGGTCCTGTAGCTTGCTGGACTTTCTTGGGCGCCCTGAAGCCTTATTCACAACAATTGAACCTCTCTCCTTGAAGTTCTTGATGATCCGATAAATGGTTGATTTAGGTGCAATCTTACTAGCAGCAATATCCTTGCCTGTGAAGCCCTTTTTGTGCAAAGCAATGATGACGACACGTGTTTCCTTGCAGGTAACCATAGTTAACAGAGGAAGAACAATGATTTCAAGCACCACCCTCCTTTTAAAGCTTCCAGTCTGTTATTCTAACTCAATCAGCATGACAGAGTGATCTCCAGCCTATTCCTCATCAACACTCTCACCTGTGTTAACGAGAGAATCCCTGACATGATGTCAGCTGGTCCTTTTGTGGCAGGGTTGAAATGCAGTGGAAATGTTTTTTGGAGATTAAGTTCCTTTTCATGGCAAAGAGGGACTTTGCAATTAATTGCAATTCATCTGATCACTCTTCATGACATTCTGGAGCATATGCAAATTGCCATCATAAAAACTGAGGCAGTAGACTTTGTGAAAATTAATATTTGTGTCATTCAAAACTTTTGACCACGACTGTACACTATATATACAAAAGTATGTGGACACCCCGTCCCATTAGTGGATTCGGCTTTTTCAGCCACACCCGTTGCTGACAGGTGTATAAAATCGAGCACACAGCCATGCAATCTCCATAGATAAACATTGCAGTAGAATGGCCTTTCCAACAAGTCAGTTCGTCAAATTTCTGCCCTGCTAGAGCTGCCCCAGTCAACTGTAAGTGCTGTTATTGTGAAGTGGAAACGTCTAGGAGCAACAACGGCTCAGCCGCAAAGTGGTAGGCCCCACAAGCTCACAGAATGGGACTGCCGAGTGCTGAAGCGCGTAGCTTCAAACTGCCTCTGGAGTTCCAAACTGCCTCTGGAAGCTACGTCAGCACAAGAACTGTTTGCCGGGAGCTTCATGAAATGGGTTTCCATGGCCGAGCAGCAGCACACAAGCCTAAGATCACCATGTGCAATGCCAAGTGTCGGCTGGAGTGGTGTAAAGTTTGCCGCCATTGGACTCTGGAGCAGTGGAAACGTGTTCTCTGGAGTGGAATCACGTTTCACCATCTGGCAGTCTGAAGGACGAATCTGGGTTTGGCGGGGGCCAGGAGAACGCTACCTGCCCGAATGCATAGTGCCAACTGTAAAGTTTAGTGGAGGAGGAATAATGGTCTGGGGCTATTTTCAATGATTTGGGCTAGGCCCCTTAGTTCAAGTGAAGGGAAATCTTAACGCTACAGCATACAATGACATTCTAGACCATTCTGTGTTTCTAACTTTGTGGCAACAGTTTGGAGAAGGCCCTTTCCTGTTTCAGCATGACAATGCTGAAATGGGCTTACATCTTCTCCAGCCCCCTCCCTTAGACAGTGATGAGGAGGAGCCAGAAGGCGCCGCTGCCCAGCGCAGCCTCCATCCCCATGGATGAAGACCACGTGGAGCTGGTGAGGAGGACCATGGCAGCAGTGGCCCTGCCCTCTTTGGCTATCCCGACCTGGGCTCAGGAGATCTCTGACGACCAGTGGAAGGATATGGTCCAGCAGACACTCCAGACTCGCCAAAGCTCAGAAGGCCTGATGCTAGAGCACAAATAAGACTGAATTGCCTCCTCCTCACAGTCTGTCTATAACTGTGCCATGCATTTCACCATCACACTTACCACAGGGGAGTCTGAGCTGAGGTCCTCTGAGCGGGTCATGAGTCCTAGGTGTCTCAATTCTCAAGAGATGAGAGAAATTGTGAAAACCCATCTGTCCAATTCTTATTAGATTAGGATATCTCTCCTAAATATGTGTTTGAAAGGAGCCTCTGGGTACTCACTACTTCTAACCTAGAGGGCAGCAGGTAGCCTAGCAGTTAAGAGCGTTGGGCCAGTAACTGAAATGTCGCTGGTTCGAACCCCCGAGCCGACTAGGTGAAAAATCTGTCAATGTGCTCGAGCAAGGCACTTAACCCTAATTGCTCCTGTAAGTCGCTCTGGATAAGAGCGTCTGAAAAATGACTAAAATGTAAATGTAATGCCCCTGTCCACAAAGCGAGGTCCATACAGAAATGGTTTGTCGACATCGGTGTGGAAGAACTTGACTGGCCTGCACAGAGCCATATCCTCAACCCCATCAAACACCTTTGGGATGAATTGGAACGCCGACTGCGAGCCAGGCCTAATCGCCCAACATCAGTGCCTGTCCTCACTAATGCTCTTGTAGCTTAATAGAATCAAGTCCCCGCAACAATGTTCTAACATCTAGTGGAAAGCCTTCCCAGAGGAGTGGAGGCTGTTATAGCAGCAAAGGGGGGGGGGGGGGGGGACCAACTCCATATTAATGCCCATGATTTTTGAATGAGATGTTCGATGAGCAGGTGTCCACATACTTCTGGTCATGTAGTGTATGTCTACTGTATGGGTCCAATATGGTGCACTGGGAGATGCAGGGGTGTGGTGTGAGATTGCCATATAACAGTGACATCTACTGGTAGCTTTGTGAACTGTGCTTCCAAAGCCATCTGGGGACCACCAACTTGGAAGATGTTTGACAGAAAAGCACCTACCAATCACGAAAACAACAACAACCAGTGGAGGCTGCTGTGGGGAGGACGGCTCATAATAATGACTGAAATAGAGTCAGTGGAATGGAAACCACGTGTTTGATACCATTCCATGAACTCCATTCCTGCCATTAATATGAGCCGTTCCTCCCTCCATTCAGCAGCCTCCACTGACAACAACGTACCCAGTACAGCCAGAAGAAGACGTGGCACCCTTCAGAGCCTGGTTCTTCTTCAGGTTTCTTCCTAGGTTCCTTCTAGGGAGGTTTGCCTAGGCAACGTGCTGTTGTTTCTGCTTTGCTTGCTCTTTGGGGTTTAGGCCGGGTATCTGTAAAAGTACTTTGTGACAACTGCTGATGTAAAAAGGGCTTTATAAAACACATTTGTTTGATTTAACCATAACAACAAGAGCATTTTGGTATGGTTAAGCACCCACTTTTATAAGTACTCACGGTTTATTCCAATACGTTAGAAATGGCAGGAGGCACACAGGCTACGAGTTTCTGAAGCCATATTAAGCACCAGAGTTACAGATACATATTAATATCAAGAGTAACATATGTGCAAATATAAATTAAATTAAAACACTTCTCCACTCCTATGATGCTCTTACAGTCAATGACTGAGTGTGATTGTATTCCAATGGTCTTCACCACAGGTAGGTAGGTAGATAGGAGTAACACTGGTCAATAACTGTAAAATGTTTAAATGCCTGCTTGAGAGGATTGGGTATGTTTCAGAGTCGGATATAGTTAGCTTAAAATATTGAAATAACATACTGTAGTGCAAGATAAATACTGACTGACAGGATAAAAAATAAAACAGATTTGTTTAAATACGCAATTCACATTCATGACTCCTTTTGTCCAAAGACAAACAGACAGAGAAAAATAAAAAGTAAGATGGGATATGTCACCATTTACTGGCCAATATTTTGACAGTTCTTTGTAAATGCTGGCATAGCTTCACAGACAGCTATGTCTTCGCAAAAGTCCTCAATTGGCAAGAGTCCAATACCAAAACAGTCTCTTTCCCCTATCCCTTGTTGACTCCCCTTCGCAGATCTAAATAGATATGTATGAAAGACTGGATATGTATGAGAAAAATATGCAGAAAAGTGAAGGACCTAGGCAAAGGGGTTGAGGGCAGAAATTGAACCAGGCCCAAGCCTACCTGACTTATGTCTAATATCCAATCCTTGAAAATCTTCAAGGGGGCAGTCAATGGGCTTAGGGACCAGGGATGGGTTTGGAATCAGGCCTAATGTTATGTCGTACCTCATCCCTCCAGGTATAGGTTGCCCTTAGGCACAGATCCAGGATAAGCTCAGTGAGCTTAACCTCCCTCCAGATTCTTACCTTAAAGGGACATTTCACTCATAAATAAAAGTTTGTCAGATGTTTTCAGACCACTAATGTACTCTAATGAAACTATGTCACATGACATAGGTTGTGTAGATCCAGCTATCGTTGTTTTACCTTAACATCAGACTACTTTAGAGGTCTGAAAATGTCTGTCAAACTTTAATTTGAAAGCGTAATGTCCCTTTAACCATTAGGAGGGGCAATGGCCAGTGTCTAGGGGCATCCTGTACATACATGGGCAGGCTTTAGTGATTGTGGACGTTGAAGAACCCCACGCTGGTTGGGGACTCCTTCACTGTTACTGTGACAAAGTTGGCGGTGACATCCGTGACAAACACGTGTTCTAGAAGGCTAAGCGCCGGCCGCCAGTCCGTCTCCATTTCCATCTCCATAGAGACCAGGTGGGCCCCATTGTTGTTGGGATAAGGGGAGGAGTCGCGCTCTTCTGATTCACTGCTGCTGGTGTCGTCTGAGTCGCCCGTGCTGAGCTTGTTAAGGGTCCGAGAGTTCTCGAAGTTCCGGGAGTTCATCTCGTTAAGGCTCTGTCCTGACTTCCTGTCCTCCTCTCTCGCCGTGCTTGCTCCGCCTCCCCCGCCCGACGACACGACTCCCTGTACACTCCCCCCTTTCTCCACTCTTCCATTACCTCTCCCTACACACCTTGGCCCCTTTCTGTTCATCTCTCTCGCCGTCTCTGCCCCCGTGTTCTTCCCTCTCTCCTCTCTGGCTTGTGGAATGCTTCCAGAGCGCAGCGCCCCTGCCCCTAACCCTCCCGACGCCACGCTCTGGTCTAGCCCAGACGAGGTGTGCATCTCTTTAATGCTTCCCCCAGCTCTTTTTCCTGCCTGGCTGACACCGCTTCTCAGGCTCGACCTTGAAACTGCAACTCCAGTGGCGCCGGAGGTTCCGTTTCCCTGGAGACCATTGCCGGGCGCCCGTTTGTTGACGCTCTGCAGGTTAAGAGCTCGGAGGCTGAGGGCCTGACTGATGCGGTCTCTGGCCGAGGGAGGGGGAGAGGAGGCGGGCTTGGCTCCCTGCTGCTGAACCACCACCACCGCCTGACCTCCAGGGCCCTCCTGCTGCCTCCTCTGCCCAGCTGGGGAGCGTTGAGCTGGGCTGCACGCCGCCGGAGAGCCCCCGAACCCACTGGAGGTCTTGGAGCCGTGGAGACCAAGTGATGTGGATGTAGACACCCCTGGTTTTACAGAGGATGCTACCTTGAGCCCTTCTGCTCTGCCATTGCTGCTGCCGGCGTCAGAGACAGAGAGGGAGCGCTTCAGATCTGACGATCCCTTACTCTGAGGCGGGGGAGGTCTGCTGAGAGAAGAAAAGGAGGATGGAGAGGAGGGAGTGGTGGTCGACATGGAGCGACCCGACCATATGGAGTTCAGCGGCCCAGGTTTGGAGGCCCCTGGCTGGAAGAAGGCCCCTCCAGCAGCCCGCTGGGATGCTGCCTCATCTCTGGAGCCCCGGCTGGCGCTCAGGCTGGTGTAGGTGAAACTGGCCGGCTGTAGAGGCTTCTTCACCCCCCCTCGAGGTTCCTCTTTGGGGGGCTCACGGGGGGGCCTGAGGACCTGGTGGTGGCGAGAAAGAGGAGGGGGCGGCAGGGGCGGCCGGGTATTTGCCTGTCTCAAAGCCCTCAGCTCGGGGAGCAGCGGTTTCCTCCCGCGCTTTTTCCGGACGGGCTCCTGCTTGGCCACCATGATATGGGGCCTTGTCTGGGGGACAGGGTGGAGGTTGAGGTTGAGGTTGCGGCGCCGAGGACCCGGTTTGGCCTTCTTCCCATGGTCTTCATCTTCCTCTTCTGAGGAAGAGGCGGAGGGAGAGGAGGACAGGCCGGATGAAGAAGATGAGGAGGACCGGTCGGATTTGGTTTCAGTTGGCTCTGGTTCCTAAAGAAATGGAGACAGAAAGGTTTGTAATGTAACCATGCATTATGTGACATCAGATTGTATCTTCATCATCCAAACAAACAAATAGATTCATGTTACTGTTGGTTGTAAATATAATGAAAGCAATCATTGAGAAGACATTATAATTAAGATGACAAAAGGAAGTTAATTTACTGCATTTGTTGTAGTGACTACATCTTATACGTTTGAATAGCAGCAACAGTGTGATGATTACCAGAATTTTCCGTGGACGCCCCCTTGGCCTCTTCCCTCTCTTACGGAACAGTAGGTCCCTCTCTTGCTCTCTGTAGAAGGTACACACGGCGTCAGATAGTCACTACCAATGTTCTGCTACTTTAAAAATACATCCTTCCTTACTTAAAGTGAGCAAGGGTTCCATTTAAATGATTTCACCAATTTGGTTATGTCAGATATAAATTATAGCGTCAAGGATGGGAGGAAGGAAAGAAACAATGCATTTGATCAAAATCAAATCAAATGTATTGGTCAAGCAGCTGTTATTACGAGTGTAGCGAAATGCTTGTGCTTCTAGTTCCGACAATGCAGTAATATCTAACAGTTCCACAACAAATATCTAATACACACAAATCTAAGTAAAGGAATGGAATAAGAATATATAAATATACAGTGGGGAGAACAAGTATTTGATACACTGCCGATTTTGCAGGTTTTCCTACTTACAAAGCATGTAGAGGTCTGTAATTTTTATCATAGGTACACTTCAACTGTGAGAGACGGAATCTAAAACAAAAATCCAGAAAATCACATTGTATGATTTTTAAGTAATTAATTTGCATTTTATTGCATGACATAAGTATTTGATCACCTACCAACCAGTAAGAATTCCGGCTCTCACAGACCTGTTAGTTTTTCTTTAAGAAGCCCTCCTGTTCTCTACTCATTACCTGTATTAACTGCACCTGTTTGAACTCGTTACCTGCATAAAAGACACCTGTCCACACACTCAATCAAACAGACTCCAACCTCTCCACAATGGCCAAGACCAGGGAGCTGTGTAAGGACATCAGGGATAAAATTGTAGACCTGCACAAGGCTGGGATGGGCTACAGGACAATAGGCAAGCAGCTTGGTGAGAAGGCAACAACTGTTGGCGCAATTATTAGAAAATGGAAGAAGTTCAAGATGACGGTCAATCACCCTCGGTCTGGGGCTCCATGCAAGATCTCACCTCGTGGGGCATCAATGATCATGAGGAAGGTGAGGGATCAGCCCAGAACTACACGGCAGGACCTGGTCAATGACCTGAAGAGAGCTGGGACCACAGTCTCAAAGAAAACCATTAGTAACACACTACGCCGTCATGGATTAAAATCCTGCAGCGCACGCAAGGTCCCCCTGCTCAAGCCAGCGCATGTCCAGGCCCGTCTGAAGTTTGCCAATGACCATCTGGATGATCCAGAGGAGGAATGGGAGAAGGTCATGTGGTCTGATGAGACAGAAATAGAGCTTTTTGGTCTAAACTCCACTCGCCGTGTTTGGAGGAAGAAGAAGGATGAGTACAACCCCAAGAACACCATCCCAACCGTGAAGCATGGAGGTGGAAACATCATTCTTTGGGGATGCTTTTCTGCAAAGGGGACAGGACGAATGCACCGTATTGAGGGGAGCATGGATGGGGCCATGTATCGCGAGATCTTGGCCAACAACCTCCTTCCCTCAGTAAGAGCATTGAAGATGGGTCGTGGCTGGGTCTTCCAGCATGACAACGACCCGAAAACACACAGCCAGGGCAACTAAGGAGTGGCTCCGTAAGAAGCATCTCAAGGTCCTGGAGTGGCCTAGCCAGTCTCCAGACCTGAACCAAATAGAAAATCTTTGGAGGGAGCTGAAAAAAAAAAAGTCTGTATTGCCCAGCGACAGCCCCAAAACCTGAAGGATCTGGAGAAGGTCTGTATGGAGGAGTGGGCCAAAATCCCTGCTGCAGTGTGTGCAAACCTGGTCAAGACCTACAGGAAACGTATGATCTCTGTAATTGCAAACAAAGGTTTCTGTACCAAATATTAAGTTCTGCTTTTCTGATGTATCAAATACTTATGTCATGCAATAAAATGCAAATTAATTACTTAAAAATCATACAATGTGATTTTCTGGATTTTTGTTTTAGATTTCGTCTCTCAGAGTTGAAGTGTACCTATGACAAAAATTACAGACCTCTACATGCTTTGTAAGTAGGAAAACCTGCAAAATCAGCAGTGTATCAAATACTTGTTCTCCTCACTGTATGGATGAGCAATGTCATTGTCAGAGCGGCATAGGCTAAGATGCAATAGATAGTATATAATACAGTATATACATATGAAACGAGTAATGCAAGATATGCCAACATTATTAAAGTGGCATTATTAATGCAAGATATGTCAACATTATTAAAGAGGCATTATTAAAGTGACTAGTGTTCCATTTATTAAATGATCTGGGCAACTCTAATAAACCATGGAGCAGTGCTCTACAATAAGTACGAATGAATATGTTCTGGTCAACCAACAACCAGTATGATATTAATAACTCACCTCTTGTGGAAGGCAGCCATTAATCTGGGGTCCAGAATATTCTCTTCAGGCTCCCAACTGTTATGCCTGTAATGAAAACCCCACATTAGAAAACCGTTTATTAGAGCACAGTAGCTAGAGAGACATTGCAATTATAATGTCACACCCTGAATTTTCTGTCCATTTGTTTCTAGTCTGGTTTAAAGGGGGTATCTCCTTTTTCAGATGCAATGTCAGACATAGTAGCATCCTATCAAAAACAAACATAGGCCTAATTGACGTTGTATCTAAATAAAATATTAAGAACATTTTCAGAATAATGCAAATCTTGAGAGGGTAGCTGTTTAGGGCTAGCCTAAATGTAAATGTCTAAAACTGGATTGTTTGCTCAACTATTTACATTCAGCCACACTATTGGTAAACGATCACGACGAAAGCACGGTGCATGAAAATAGTGGGCGTTACATATTCCGGTGCTTGAGTTCTCTACGGTAGTAGGAGGATGCCTGTTCACGTTACTAGATACCGGTTAGGAATCGTAACATCAGCTGCTCGGGCTTAAGAAAACAAAACAAGACTCCGAAACGGCTAACACCATCATCTTTCTTCCATGCAAAACCACAAGCGACTGGAATATTATCATATGATTGTAAATATTGCGTAGCTATGAGAGAAATACGGGGTTGCAGGGGGATCAAGGGCTACATTGTCATTGTTTAGCTCAGCCAGCTTCTTACTAAATAGCTACTCACTTGGACGACCACCCTCTCCACTTCACCAAATACTCAAACTTCCCCTGCAAAGGAGAAGAGTGGGAAAGAGTTAAAAGATTGTAAAGGGTCTAATGTTTCCACATTATGATAAAATACGTTATTTCATACCTTTCTTGGGCGTTTGTTGAGGATGCATTCGGCGTCAAATACCTGCCCTACAGTTACCCCGTCCATAGCTCCAGCCCCTCTCCTTTTTTTACGAGGAAAAGCGGAACAGGGAGGGAAAGATTGTCCTCCCGTGGCATCCATAGTTAGGCACCGTACCTCTGCCTCTCATACGTCACTTTAAACGTTTCATTCTAGAGGGCCTGCATAGCTACAAAATATTACTGCATAAAGTCGTTTTAAATGCTTTATTATTACATATGATCCGGTATGCTAGGCTCCATAAAGGGCACACATCTATAAATTGACAATATATTATTATTACAGCGATGACAGTTATCATTACATTTACATTTTAGTCATTTACGGTGCATTCAGAAAGTATTCAGACCTCTTGACTTTTTCCACATTTTGTTACATTACAGCCTTATTCTAAAATTGATTAAATTGTTTTTTCCCCTCATCAATCTACACACAATACCCCATAATGACAAGGTAAAAACAGATTTTTAGAAATTTTTGCAAATGTATTTAAAATAGAAAAACTGAAATATTACATTTACACAAGTATTCAGACCCTTTACTCAGTACTTTGTTGAAGCATCTTTGGCAGCGATTACAGCCTCAAGTCTTCCTTGGTATGACACTACAAGCTTGTCACACCTGTATTTGGGTAGTTTCTCTGCAGATCCTCTCAAGCTCTGTCAGGTTGGATGGTGTCGCTGCACAGCTATTTTCACATCTCTCCAGAGATGTTCGATCGGGTTCAAGTCCGGGCCACTCAAGGACAGTCAGAGACTTGTCCCGAAGCCACTCCTGCGTTGTCTTGGCTGTGTGCTTAGGGTTGTTGTCCTGTTGGAAGGTGACCTTCGCTCCATTCTGAGCTCCTGAGCGCTCTGGAGCAGGTTTTCATCAAGGATTTCTCTGTACTTTGCTCCGTTCATCTTTCCCTCGATCCTGACTGGTCTCCCAGTCCCTTAAAAACATCCCCACAGCATGATGCTGCCACAACCATGGTTCACCGTAGGGATGGTGCCAGGTTTCCTCCAGACATGACGCTTGGCATTCAGGCCAAAGAGTTCAATCTTGGTTTCATCAGACCAGAGAATCTTGTTTCTCATGGTCTGAGAGTCCTTTAGGTGCATTTTGGCAAACTCCAAGCGGGCTGTCATGTGCCTTTTACTGAGGAGCGTCTTCCGTCTGGCCACTCTACCATAAAGGCCTGATTGGTGGTGTGCTGCAGAGATGGTTGTCCTTCTGGAAGGTTCTCCCATCTCCACAGAGGAACTCTGCTCTGTCAGAGTGGCCATCGGGTTCTTGGTCACCTCCCTGACTAAGGCCCTTCTCCCCCGATTGCTCAGTTTGGCCAGGTGGCCAACTCTAGGAAGAGTCTCGGTGGTTCCAAACTTCTTCTATTTAAGAATGATGGAGGTCACTGTGTTCTTGGGGACCTTCAATGCTGCAGAAATCCTGTCTCGGAGCTTCGACCTCATGGCTTGGTTTTTGCTCTAACATGCACTGTCAACTGTGGGACCTTATATAGACAGGTGTGTGCCTTTCCAAATCATGTCCAATCAATTGAATTTACCACAGGTGGACTCCAATCAAGTTGTAGAAACATCTCAAGGATGATCAATGGAATCAGGATGCACCTGAACTCAATTTCGAGTCTCATAACAAAGAGTCTGAATACTTATGTAAATAAGGTATTTCAGTTTTTAATTTTTAATACATTTGCAAACATTTATAAAAACCTGTTTTTGCTTTGTCATTATGGGGTATTGTGTGTAGATTGATGAGGATTTTATTTTCATTTAATCCATTTTAGAATAAGGCTGTAACGTAACAAAATCACTGGGTCTGAATACTTTCAGAATGCACTTTATTTATAATGAGGGATACCTGCAGAAAATCAGATCTCTCTGAAATGAAAATGGATGGCCCTCCCTTCAGTAATATATATTTTTACCTGACCCTCTCTGAAAGCTTGCAACAAAAAGTGACCCTCCCCTATACCCAAAATAATAATTAGAACATAAAGTGGATAGTAGAGAAAATGCCTACCATTTACTCCTAGGACAGACCAGAGCATTAGATTTGCAGCATTAGAAAATGTTATTACATAGCAAAGTAGCCAGAAGGTTGTGGATATGCAGACCACCACAGAGAAGGGTGAAAATATATACATTATAATAAAAGTACCTCATGAATCTATCATCTTATTTGCAGTAGGAGAAAAAATGGCCTTTTATAAACACATTTTCATGCAATTCTATGTCATTTTACATGACTGGAGACAAGCAGAATATTTTTTAAATACCACAACAGAACATGACAACAAATGAGAGCATGCTGTAGCACCAGATAAGTTATATATTTTTTTATACAGGCTATTATTGTTTAAAAAAAGGACAGTCTAAGTTAGGAACAGGGCCGTCGCCAGAACGAATCAGTTGGACAGGCCTCTGATTTCTATAGGCGCGTACGTTTTCTCACGGGACCTATGTGTGCACGTGCTTGTGGGTTCACAATTGTTATAATGGGTGTAATAGCAAAGGCCATAGGCAGCTCGTGAGTTTCAAGTTTGGGGAAACTTACAATTTCTTACAATATAAAAATCTAAAAGTTAAAATTCAACTATGGTGAGAGCACCAACCTCTGCCATATGGACACATTGATACACTGTGATACATTGGCGGCTAATGAAATTAGAGCATATAACTCAGAGATAGCCTATAGGCCAATGCAGAAGTAGGCCTACAACTTCCATCCTCAAATAAGTAAAATACATAGGCCTAAAGCCAACAAATGAAAACAGTAGAAAATATCCTGACCAAAATTCTGGTTCTTTCAATCACATTCATATCTCTGCTGCACCTGTCTGCCTCCCTTTCTATCTGTCTTGACTTGAGCTATTGCTAGTGAAGTGCAATATTGTATCACTGGGTCTAGCCTGAAGCTGTCGCTAGCGAACTTGCAACATTGTACCAACTAGTCTATTCTGGGCCCTCAGAGTTTCCTGCGCCAGTGAGCTCCAGACAGACAGCTATTTTTGATGAAATTCCAACGGATATATGGGATCATCAGATCATGATATTTTGCTCTTTCACATGAAGGCTTGGTGATTATCGAGGCCGTGTGTGTTGGAACTACCATTCGCAATGGATGTTTAAAAAAAACAGTATTCGTTGGCTCAGCTTATTAGTGGTGTACATGGTGAGTTAAGACAATCAGAAATCAGACATTGCCAAATGGGCACTTTCCTACATGCATGTATGCATTCTGGAGAGAGACGCACCATATTCGCCACACAACCCTCCACTTCTTCTTGATGCAACATTTTACATTATATTCAAGACACATTATCTTCACACATATTTTAGACGCTTTTCACTGACATCCGTAACTCAATCAGCTAGACCTATTGCCACGCTCACTACCCAAATGGAGGGCTTCCCAAATAGGCATGCAAACTTCTGATTTGAAACAATCCACAGCTATAAAAAAAAAAAAAAAAAAAAAAGCTACTGATCGTCTGTGGCTAAGTCATGCTCCCTGGTGAAGTATTTTGAACGATTTTATTTAGACAGAAGTAATTATATAATTTGGTCGAAACATCAATTTACTTTAGGGCAATCCAGCACCCTAACGGTGCACTGTGCACCGCCAACTTTCCTTTGCAATTCGCATGAAACCAGAGATATAATGACGAGATGCTCATGTCTCCTTCCTAACAATGGGAGTCTTTGTCCCAAAGGCGAGAAGGCAGGCGACAAGTTTAGGTCTGTATATTATTCCCATAGAAACGCATTGGGATTATTCTGTACAGATTTTGAAGAAAGTGAGCCCTCTCGCTTCGGCTCTTCCTCTCTGCTCTAGCTATATCAATTCAATGTAAGGGCTTTATTGGCATGGGAAACGTATGTTCACATTACCAAAGCAAGTGAGTAGATAGTAAACAAAAGTGAAATAAACAAGAAATATTAACAGTGAACGTTACACTCAGACGTTCCAGAAGAATAAAGACATTTCAATTGACATATTATGTATATATACAGTGTTGTAACAATGTGCAAATAGTTAAAGTACAAATGGGAAAATAAATAAACATAAATATGGGTTGTATCTACAATGGTGTTTGTTCTTCACTGGTTGCCCTTTTCTTGTGGCAACAGGTCACAAATCTTGCTGCTGTGATGTCACACTGTGGTATTTCACCCAGTAGATAAGGGAGTTTATCAAAATTGGGTTTGTTTTTGAATTCTTTGTGGATCTCTGTAATCTGAGGGAAATACAGTGAGGGAAAAGGGTATTTGATCACTTGCTGATTTTGTACGTTTGCCCACTGACAAAGACATGATCAGTCTATAATTTTAATGGTAGGTTTATTTGAACAGTGAGAGACAGAATAACAACCAAAAAATCCAGAAAAACGCATGTCAAAAATGTTATAAATTGATTTGCATTTTAATGAGGGAAATAAGTATTTGACCCCCTCTCAATCAGAAAGATTTACTCAAAGCCAGTGGCATGTCGTTAGCAAAGATTGAAAAAAAGTGAGGGGCCTAAACAGCTGCCCTGGGGAATTCCTGATTCTACCTGGATTATGTTGGAGAGGCTTCCATTAAAGAACACCCTCTGTGTTCTGTTAGACAAGTAACTCTTTATCCACAATATAGCAGGGGGTGTAAAGCCATAACGCATACGTTTTTCCAGCAGCAGACTATGATGGATAATGTCAAAAGCCGCACTGAAGTCTAACAAAACAGCCCCCACAATCTTTTCATCATCATTTTCTCTCAGCCAATCATCAGTAATTTGTGTAAGAGCTGTGTTTGCTGAATGTCCTTCCCAATAAGTGTGCTGAAAGTCTGTTGTCAATTTGTTTACGGTAAAATAGCATTGTATCTGGTCAAACGCACATTATTCCAGAAGTTTACTAAGGGTTGGTAACAGGCTATTTGAGCCAGTAAAGGGGGCTTTACTATTCTTGGGTAGTGGAATGACTTTTGCTTCCCTCCAGACCTGAGGACACACACTTTCTAGTAGAGCATGAGGTGTGGCTAACA